TAATATTTGGCTTTATCTTCTCGAGCTGATCTTTGAAATTTTCTGTTCATCTTTTGGACCTCCTCATTTCTTCCATTTGCTTTAGCATCTCTACGCTGGAGAGCAAGTTTCAGTGTCTCTTCTGACAATCCATTTTGACCTTATCCTTCTTTCTTGTCTTCTCAATGAAAGCAAAAAGTAATTGAGAAGAGCTCCTTAAAATGCCCATGAAATGACTAGATGGTGCCATAGTGTCAGTTTCTCTTCAGCGATCCTATGCACACAGAATAAAGCACTGCCTGGTCCAGGACCATTCTCACAATTGTCATGTTTGAGTCCACTGTTCCTGCCACTGTGTCAATCCATCCCATTGGGGTCTTCCACTTTACAGAGCATGATATTCTTCTCCAGGGACTGGTCCCTCCTGATAATATGTCCGAAATAGAAGAGACGAAGTCTGGCCATCCTGGCTTCTAAGGTGCAGTCGAGCTGTATTTCTTCCAATATAGACAGATCTGTTTGTCCTTCAGAAGTCCGTGGTACTTTCAATATTCTTCTCCCACACCATAACTCAAATGTATTGATTCTTTTCTGGTCTTTCTTTCATGTGCACATGAGGTGACTGAAAATACCATGGCTTGGGTCAGGTGCCTCAGTTCTAAAACTGACATCTTTGCTCTTAAACACTTTAAAGAGGTCTTGCGCAGCACATTTGCCTAATGTAACACATCATTTGATTTCTTGACTTCTGCTTCCTTGAGTGCTGATCATGGATCCAAGCATAATGAAGTCTTAGACAACTTTAATTTTATTCTTCATTTATCATGATGTTGGCCCAGTGATGAGTAGTTTGTTTTCTTTCCATTGAGGTGCAATCCATACAGAAGGCTGTGGTCTTTGTTCTTCATCAGTAAGTATTTTAAGCCCTCTTTGCTTCCAACAAGCAAGGTTGTATCATCGCGTATCATAGGTTGTTAATGAGTCTTCCTCTAATCGTGATGCAATATTCTTCTTCATATAATCCAGTTTCTTGCTCAGCATATAGATTGACTAAGTAAGTATGGCGAAAGAATACAACCCTGGCACACACCTTTCTTGATTTTAAACCATTTAGTATCCCCTTGTTTTGTTCTTCATGAGCATGATTCAATGTTCTGGGATATTCATTTTTCAAAATATTATCTATAGTTTGTCATGATATATGCCAGGGGAACGTTTGGCCTATGGGCTGTATAAAGCCTGTGAAATCATTTGGTCTGGCCCTACAAGGCAACCATAGTTCTAGTCATCACACTGTAGTTGTTGTCAAGTGCTTTCGGGTGGGGTCTGACTCATAGTGATTCTGTATAGGGTTTCCAAGGAGCAGCTGGAGAGTTTGAACCGACAACCTTGTGGTTCAAACCAACCTTGTGATCCAGTGCTTATCCTATGGCGCCCCACCAGGACCCCAGCTGTCACATTTTTGTTGTTGTTCTTAAGTGCCATGGAGTCGGTTCTGATTCATAACAACCCAGTAAAAGGGGTTCCGAGGAGCAGCTGGTGGGTTTGAACTGCTGACCTTGTGGTTTGAAGTCTAGT